ATATTTATTTATTTATTTATTTATTTATTTATTTATTTAGAACACTGGAACAGTACAGTATATACACACATAAGCCATCCAACATATATAACATTGGGAAATATGATATACATTTGTACATTACACAATATACAAAGAAGTGACTTTCATGACCTGTTCGACAATTAATTTGAAGGAAAGAAGTAAAACACTTGAAACAAACAGTGCCTTACATTTTTGACAGTATGTTGCCAGTTTTACATGACATGGCTTGTTTTGACATCAGTTGCTCTTGCCCTTTGAGAATCATACAGCTTCTCAGGTCCTGGGGAGGAAGATTACCTCTAGATAGGGAATAGGGGTGGGAGGGAAAGGGAGGGAGAAAGGGAATAGCAAGGATGATGGAAGGAGATAGTCATCATTATACAAAATACATGTATGAAGATGTGAATTTGGCGTCAACAATTTTATTTTTGCATATGACCCCAAAAGCATAGAATGATGCCTGACAGCAAATCTCCCTCAATCAGTACTTATTTAGTTAAAATTATTTCTGTCACCACAGATGAAGGACACTGGCATTTCTTATGTAAGTGTTCCTTATTCCTGTGATAGAACATGGAGATTTTTTGGCAGAAAGTGAAGTTAACAAGTAGGATAACATCAATTTTAAAAAGCTTCTGCACAGTCAAACAAATAATGAAAAGAAATAAGAGACAACCCAGAGAATGACAGAAAGTAGTTGCAAAGTATTTGCCTGACAGGATATTAACTTCCATAATATGTAAGGAGTACAAACAATAGCAAAATAGCAAATAATGTGATTTAAGAATATATGAATGACATGGATAGATATTTCTAAAAACAGTGTATATAAATTGCTAACAAACGTGAAAAAATTCTCAGAAAAATTCAAATCAAATGGCATCTCACTCATGTTAGAATGGCTTGTCTCCAAAACAAAGAACAAATGCCCTGAGAATGTGACCAAAGCAGGACTCTCACACACTGTTTGTGGGAATGTAAGTAAATGCAGCCATTGTGAAAACAGAAGTTTCTTCAACAATTTAGAAATAAAACATCCACATTTTCCAGGTATCCCACCGAAGGGTATATGTTCAAAGGAATTGAAAGAGTATGCTGACAAGACATCTACGTGTGCATGCTTATTACAGCTCCATCCATAGTGGCTTAGTTGATTCTGGAATCAGCCTAGGTGTTCATTGATAGATGAATGGATAAAGAAAATGTGGTGTACATACACATGTAATATTTACAAGTATAAATAAGGAATAAAATTATGGTATTTGCAGACACATGAATGGAATTGAAGGACATTATGTTAAGTGCAATAAATCAGGGACAGAGAGACAAATACTTCATGTTCTCAATTATACGTGAAAGCTAAAAAGTTAATCTTATGTAAATAGCACTGAGAATACTCACTACCAGAGCCTAGGAATAGTGTGGGTGTGAGAGAGGAAGAGATGGAGAAACTATACTTATTGGGTACAGGGGTGCAGTTGGAAGGGTTGAATACTTTCTTTGGCTCAATAGTATGTTGAAATATTTATGGTTGACAATAAATAATTAAGTATTTTAAAATAACTTGTAGAGAAAATTTTGAATGTTCTTGTATAAGAATAAATATATATGAAGTGATAGATCTGCCAGTTAATCTGATCTGGTTATTACATATTATATATGTGAAGCTGGTATGGTACATCTGATCTGTAGTCCCAACCATTTGGAAGCCTGAGACTGGAAGTTTGATTGAACCCAAGAGTTTGAAACCTGCTAGAGCAATATAACAAAATCCTATTCCAAAAACATAAAAAAGTACTTTTACATCCCATTTAAATGTGCAATTACTATATCATTTAATATAAAAATACATTTTAAATAATTAAGATACATATTTGGACAAATACCAAAAATTTTAATTTATGTTCTTAATTATCATGGTTCATTAAACCTGTTAACTTTGTAATCTTAAAAATATTAGAATGTAGAAATTTAATGTATCATACATGTCATTCCCTGCCTCAACTCTTTATTAGGCATATCTTATATTTAATAGAATTACAACTTAAAATATCATTTGCTCCAAGGCAATTATTTATCAGATGAAGATAGGTTAGTTCTAGAGCTAATTTAGATGTGTATCCAACTATTGCACAAGATACTCAGTTCTTTCTCCAATTCATTATAAATTAATAAAATCAATGTGCATATTAATCATTCATGAAGTACACACATTCAGACAGAAGTATTATTTTTTTCTTATAGAATTATCAAGAGAAAATATATTTTTGGACTGTGCAAAATTATCAAGGGAATATTTACATAATGTCTGACTTTATTCTTAAAATGTTTATTAAAAAATAAAAAAATTAAAAATTCAATAAATGTTTGATTATACAGTTTTCCACAAATGAATGTATCTTACTCTCCATATGAATCATCTCTATGGGGGAATAAAAGAAAATAAGAAATTAGTTATATTTTAATTTTATAATTTTAAAATTTGTTAACATTTAATTTTATAATTTGAATATAAAATGCACCATTTATTGCAATTATAATTGTAACAAATTCAAGGCAAAATCTTAGCAGATGAACATTAAGTTGGTTATTTTTATTTACAGCATTTTAAAAGGGAGTGGAATGAATGATTTTTCTGTAGCTAATTTACTATATTCAAATACCTATTCAATTCAGCCCACACTTCTTAAATGTGTGAAATAGAGAAAAAATTCATTACCATAGATGGGAGATTAAAATTAAAAATAAAATTTTATATTTTATACAGATTTTTAAAAGTAGCTCAAAAACTACTTATATTAAAATATATGATAGGCTGATAGAGTCTACCATTATTTCTTTTTGTATCATCCTTAGATTTTTTTCCTAATCTATTCTTTAGTAACATAATGTAATAAATGGTACTCTCAGAAGCAATGTGTTGTCTAAAATAACCATAGAATTAGTGAGTTATTTGAAGTATTATTAGTTTTTGTTGGCAAGTTTCCCATAGTTTCACTAGACATAAAGTAAAAAAGAAGAAAAGGAAGAGGACAAAGAACAAGAGTTCCATCGTGGTGAATAAAGTCTTTCTCAGCAACATAGACAAATGAAGGAAAACAGAAGATGGGCAGTGGAACTCTGGTAGATTTACAGCTTATTTAAGGATAAAAAATAGCAGCTTTATTTGAGCAAGGCTGAAATGAGTGTGAACTTGAGCAGATAGGCTGTGTGTGAAACAACTTGAGAATTCCTCTTTGGATGTACTGCAAAACTGGTTTACTTTAATGGACTTTGTTCTTTTTCAAATTCTTCTAATTTCTTATAACCTAGAGGTTTGTATCCTATTGATAATTAATCAGAATATATTGTTCACAATTTTTGATGATCATGGAAATGATAAGAGCCAGGAGAAGCCAAGATGAGGAACTTCATATTGGCCTGAGTCCTATGAAAGCACAGTGAGAATGAGTAATACTAGCCTTCACTCCTGCATTCACACAAAAAAATATTTATCAATCCTACTGTTCTCTAAAACATATTAGAGATTCAAAGATAAATAAATATGTGGCCCAATGTCACAGAACATAGTGATTGGCTCAGCATATTTTTTAATATAGAGGATGTGAATGAAACTAAAGTGTTACAAGAATGCACAAGTGAACTTCTGAAGTAGATGCAGAGAATTGGAACTTAAGGTCAAGAAAAAGTACAGTTTACTCAGTTTACTCAGGATAAGGAAAATGACATTTTGGAAGACTACAAAGAGACAAAACTGAGAGATAGGATACTATATCAAAAGCAAATATTTCAGCATGTGAGCAGGGCAAGAGTTAGAAATAGGATGACCAGTTAGACCGGTATGATACATAGGGACATACATAATGTCATGAGGGGTAGATTTAAGAAGGCACAATATAAAGATATATTTAGAAAGTAGGACAGTAACTCATAAGGACTGGCTTTATAGTAAAGCCACAGAAAATGACCCGTGTTTCTATCTTAAGAATTAGAACATTAAAAATATTATTAAGAGAAAAATCAGATTGAAAAGAAGTAACAGGAAAAATACATGTAATTATTTTGATAAATTTAATTATATTCATGTATTTACTAAAATAGATGAACAGAAAAGATTTAAAGTAAGCATATGTGTGTGTGTGTGTGTATGTATATATATATATGTTCATATATATATGAAACACATACAAAATCCTCATCCTATCAGGCTACAAGTGGAAGTTAAAATGTTTGAAGCTACAGTAACACTAAAATGAAGGAACTTGAGTTTGGAAGGTCAAAGTATGCATATTTTTTCCTTCCTTTTCTGATTCAACAGTTTAGGAACAGGGATTGTATATGACAGGGAGAAACAGGAACAGTGGGTTATAGACTAAAGGGAAACCTTGGGCTACTTATAATATCAGTCACAGTAGTAGGATATTTTAGATTGATGGACCAGAACATACCTGATACAAGTAAAGGAAACAAATATCTGATCATCTATAAATGCCAGCATGGTCTTTGAGAATGCCATGGTGTTCATTCTCACAGAAATATCATTAAAGGTTCATGGTTTTATCACAAGTGTGGTATTACATAGATGCTTTAGCAATGCTACTCAAGTATGGTATTTGGAATGATGTTTGTGCCGAATCCTCCTTCATCACATCCTCTTTCTCCTCCTATATTTGCCTATGATCAAAGCATTGTGTGTAATCTGTTACCACAGTCCATCATATTCATTTTAAATAAAATTAAAACCAACAGTATTTATCTCCTTGAATTATCAAAAGGAAACACAGCAGCTCACAATACTGAAGAGGCACAGTGATGAGCAATATTCCAGATATTCAGAGGGCAACTGCATAATAGATTATTAAATAGACAGGCTTAAGGCAATTATAGTACAGAAATGCAGAAGTGAGTTAATTACATGAATTGATACTGGGAAGTAGAACATGCATACTAGATAGAGCTGCAGCTTTGGAACTTACCAGAATATTGATTATATTCAGCACTCTGAACATAGAAGACATTGTACATGAAAGATGTTTCATTCAGAAGGGAAATAGGCTGAGGACACATCCTCCATATCACCACAATATACTATGTGAGAGAAAATAGAGATGTCCACGAAAAATCTGTGAGGAGAAAGAGAATAGCCAAAGGTAAGACAATATCTTGTTAATATTTTAACATGGAAGAAAAGAGAATTAAACATCAAGAAGGAAAGCCTAATTCCCATAAGCTAATTCTGCTGTGACCTTGAAGTTTGCTTATCATCATGAAACCTCACATTTCTCATCTGGAAGGTGTTATCATAATATTGGATCCAAATTAAATGGGAATGCATATGTTATGTTACAAATGAGAATTGCTCAAATGAAAACTTTAGGTATTATCATTATGATTTAATCATTATACTGTTCAGTAGAAATTCCTGAATAAAAAAATCTCTAAGAATAATGGAGGAAAAAAATACAAGAAGCAGTGAGAAAATATCTTTGGACAATACAGAGGTCATCTCAACTCTTAGGACTGGCAAGTCATTCCCTTCTAGTACAAGCCAGATCTTAGGTCTACCAGTTGCAAATATTTTGTATTAAAAGGAAGTGTTTTAGTTAAACTAAGTATTTCTCAACCCTCAAAGACATTCACATTCTAATTCCTAAAATCTGTGAATATGTCAAGTTGTAAGGCAAAAAGGAATTAAGATTGGAGATGGAATTAATTTTGTTAATGATCTGAAATTGAGATTAGGCTGGTGAGCATATTGTAATCACAAAAACTCTCCAAAGTGGAAGAGGAAGGCAGAAGGATAAGAGTCATGTGATATGAGAAAAATTCAAGCAGTCATCAATGGTTGGAAAATGAAGAATTCAGGCACTGAGCTAATCTCAAGGAGCCTCCAGAAGTAGAAAAGAATGGAAAGTAGATTCTCCTCTATAGCTTCTAGAAATGAGTGCAGCCCTGAGGTACCAAATTTTATTCTGAAAGCATCCATTTTCAACATATGACCTACAGGTTTAACATAAAAAATCTGTTTTGTTTCTGGTACTTTGTTACAACAGCAAAAGGAAAGTAACACAGGCAACTTGCCTCAAATGTCCAGTGTTACCATGAACACTGGAATCTAATAGATCTGAGAATAGGTGAATTTTTATAAAAGTTTACTAATTATGAGATCTTGGGCTCCGGAAGCCCTAAGAGTATGCCCCCTACTGCAGTTTTCTGTACTATTCCTAAGACTTCCTTTCCTGTGGGGCTCATCCATATGGCTACTTTCCTGTGTTTGTATATATACATATAATTTTATACTTGTATTATAACTTATATAAATTATATAATTATATAAATACATACATATGACATTGTTCCCAAAAGTAAGTGGAACAACTTCTAAGAAAAAGTTCTTAGGTCACAGACTCGTATGTGCTCAGCATATGTGTTCACTATACAGCACTCTGTCTGAACTCTAGAGTGATTGGGGAGAGTTGAGCTCTTTTTCTCTGTAGATTAATGAACAAACAATAAGATGTGCCTGTAAAATTTTTTGAGGAAGATAATGAAAATGATATGATGATAAATGATAAATTGCATTTATATAATAGTTTTTTTAAATGTACATAACACGTTCATAATGTTCACTAAATACTCAATATTTTGTGTAATTAATATTAGTTTCTCATATATAAAGAGAAAATGAAATTAATTGCTTCTTAATAGTTCAGGATGATGGACTTAAAATATAATCACTATGGCTCATATAACCACTATTATCATCTGTTAGTAGAAAAAACTGATATTTTCTCTCTTTAAGTCAGGATGAAGATGCTGAGGAGTCTCTTATACATGTTTTGCAAGAACAGCAAGTAGAAGGCAGACAAGGGTGTTTCATGTTTATTTAGTTCTAAGTAAAGTAGGGAGAATCAGTAAAACGTTTTCTAACTTCTATATTTTTAAATTTATGTATTTTGTCACTGAACTATTAAGTAGCAAATAAAGACAAATTTTTCAGATCATTAAGGTGCACCAAAGCTACTGTGTTCTTGAAATATCTTTTGTGTTGGAGTTGGAGTTTTAGTTTTACATATGGAAAAGTGTACATTTTACTCTGTGTGTTGATTGGCTTGAGAACTTACATTTCTTTGGTAGGCTAAATCCATCATGGTTTACCAAAGCAATGTCAGTTTCATCATACTTAATAACAATAGTTCTGAATCTCTAATGTTGAGCCAGAGGACTAAAAATGTAACACACATATGACTTTGCATTAGGAAAGACTGGCCAGGAGTTGTAACTGCAATTTACTAGCTCTGTTCGCTAATACAAAATACCTAAGTTTCATTTTCTCTGCCATATCCCTTGTTGATTTTTTAATTTTACTTCTCTGGTTTAGTAGTCTCAATGAAAAAGTCAGTTCCTAAGCCAAAAGATGGGGAATGTTGGTTCTACATATTCTCCTCACAGTTGTAGGGTTTCTGATCTAATTCCTAGGTCTTTGATCCACATCAAGTTGAGTAATACGCAGGGTAAGAGATGGGTTGAAATTTCATAATCCTACATATAGATTTCCAGTTTCCTCATTTTTATTCACACAAAGTATTTACAATCTAATTTTCAAATATTTATTTCTCATTTCAGCAAAAGATTATTATAGGAGACATTGCAACATAAACATTATATAGAAAAAGAGAATATACAATTTTATATTGCCAACTTGAGGGAAACATTTTCATCTGGAAAATAAGAGTTAAACTGAAGAACTCAGGGTCTAATATCATTAAGTATGATATAATTCAGGATTCTAATGATATTTTTTAATTCAATCTTATTAATTAATAATTTTATTTTTATTTATATATGACAGCAGAATGCATTACAATTCTTCTTATACATATAGAATACAATTTTTCATATCTATGGTTGTATATAAAGTATATTCACACCAATTCATGTCTTCATACACTTACTTTGGATAATAATCATCATCACATTCCACTATCATTTTTTAACTCCATGCCCCCTCCCTTCCCTTCCAACCCCTCTGCCCTATCTAGAGTTCATCTATTCCTCCCATGCTCCCTCTCCCTATCCCACTATGAATCAGCCTCTTTATATCAAAGAAAACATTCTGCATTTGTTTTTTTTGGGGGGGCGGGGGATTGGCTAAATTCACTTAGTATTATCTTCTCTAACTCCATCCATTTACCTGCAAATGCCATGATTTTATTCTCTTTTATTGCTGAGTAATACTCCATTGTGTATATATACCACATTTTTTTATCCATTCGTCTATTGAAGGGCATGTAGGTTGGTTTCACTGTGAAAACAGCTATTGTGAATTGTACTGCTATAAACATTGATGTGACTGTGTCCCTATAGTATGCTGTTTTTAAGTCCTTTGGGTATAGACCGAGGAGAGGAATAGCTGGGTCAAATGGTGGTTCTATTCCCAATATTCCCAGAAATCTCCATACTGCTTTCCATGTTGGCTGCACCAATTTGCAGTCCCACCAGTGGTGTATGAGTGTGCCTGTTTCCCCACATTCTTGCCAACACTTTTTGTTGTTTATATGCATAATAGCTGCCATTCTGACTGAAGTGAGATGAAATCTTAAGTGGTTTTGATTTGCATTTCTCTAATTGCTAGTGATGATGAACATTTTTCATATATTTATCCTTTATCAGTGGTGACAGCAATGACTTTAACTAAATAAGTACTGACTGAGATTTGCTGTAAGGCACCGTTCTATGCTTTTGGGGTTATATGCAAAAATAAAATTGCTCAGATCAATGTCCTAACATGTTTTCCTATTGCTTTCTTCTAGTAATTTGGTTGGAATTTCTGAAGCAATATTTTAGATCTCAAAGCAATTTTAGAAACTCTGTCATGAACATTTATTAAAGAGACCAGAAAGAGATCCCTGCTCCACTGAGGCCTCAAAAGAAGCCGTGAGAACTCCAAGACCCTTCATTCAGAAGATCCAGACTGGTGGGCCTGTATATATCTGAAAAGTTTGCTCTGTAACCTGGCAAGATATCCACAGTATGGCTTACTGCTTGGATAATTTTCCAAAACATTAGAGAAGAAAATAAAAAGAAATATTTCTACCTCTGAAAGAATTTACTGAGGCTCAGAAGTCATATTGACCCTGAGGTAAGAGGCAAGAAGAAGTCAGGTCCCTCAAGGAAACCTGTCCATGTTCAGCAAAGGGGCATCGGGACAGCACCTGCGCTGGCCTCAGGAAGGTAGGAATTTCACATGGGAATGTAAAGGAGAGAGAGACTGGTGTCCAGATTTGTTGTTCACATCTCTTGAAAGAACACAGATTCTCAGAATTCAGTTCCTCTCTGTATAAAGAAGCACCTGAATTAGTTGGGTTTTTTTTCTTTCTCTTTTTTTCCTCAAGTTTTCATTCTTCTCAATTTCTAAAGTTAGCAATGTGACATTTTCCCTTACCGCTAATATACTTAAGTCATGATTTATTTAATAGTTTTCTTAAAATTTCTCTTAAAAAATCAGTTATCGTTAATAATGTGTTATATATAATCTCACTCAACTCACAGGTTTGATTATATATTTATTTTTAAATAAACACAAAAATATTCAAGTAGGTTGCCTTTCATTATTTGCTGCATAAATTAACTGTATTAATTAATTTATTACTTATTTAAAACATATATTTAGCACACACTATGTCCTCATATTTTTATATCTTAGAGATATAAGAGTAATTAAAAGAAGAAATACAAATGAATTTTTATTTATTTTTATTTATAAATGAAGGATTTTTATATGCACACCCAAGAGAAAATAATGTATAAACAATAGAGTGAAAACAATGTGTCTAATTCTTTTGTTTCTTTAAGGAAATTCCAAAGAAGAATATTGATATGGTAAAGTATTATTTTTATATAAAGCTTATTTGACTCGTATTTCTAAAAGCTAATAAAGTATTAATGCTCTTGAAATATTTCTCTTCTAATAATATACTTTAATAATATAAAGATAATTAATATTTTAACTGATACATAATTATACATATTTAAGGGGTGACATTCCAATACATATATACCTTGTGCAGTAATCAGAGTAATTGCATACTAATATTTCATATTACTTAAAAATGTGATTTCTTTCCACCCTTTAACTGTGGTTCTCTTAACTGACTTTAACAGCTTCAGTTATGACCTTTCATGTAAGAAAGACCTTTCCACAAGAGTCTAAGTTTCACATTTTTTCCAATGTTTCTTCTTTTGAAAAGAAAAACAGAATTTTATCATTTCTTAATCTGGGAATTTAAATCATTTGGTTTCTTTATACTAGTACCCCTAAAATATAAGAAAGGCCTTTAGTTCTACAGATATTAAGAATAGAATGCAGAAAATTCGATTTCGCATATCCCCAAGTCTTTATTATTATTACTATTTTTTTATTTGTCAAGGAATCTTCTAGTAGTTCATCTAGAGGGGTAAATGATACTTTCAAAATTAAATAATCAGCCAGTTTAGGGAATTTTGCTACTGTGTTTTCTTAATTGAGTAATTACTTTAATTAAGTGTTGCTAATTTTTACCAGAGATATAGATATATAGATATAGATATAGATACACACAATGAAAATTTTTAAAAAATTCTTGTAAGAAATACACATAGATGCAGTCAGGATCTGACTGTCTTCATAGCCAACAGTAACTGTTTTATGCCATTCCCTAAGATTATGAATAGCTGAATATTGACTCCTTGGAAACATGTATTTTTAAAGCAATCCAAATCCACATCACTACTCTCTAAATTGCCTTAATTATATCTATGCCCAGCACCTTCTCTCCTACAGTTATAATACTGGACTGAGTTATAAGTTGTGGATATCACAGTTGCAAGAAACACCTGTTGAAAAAGGAACACAATTGGGAAATGTCCTGGGAGAAGGTACTGCATGAAGGATGACCCCAGTCTTGTGCCTTGGGGCACAGCCCAAGGTCTTCCTCCTTGGTGCCTTGGGGATCATTCCTTACCTTTCCCTTCCATCTTTGTGAATAAAAGACAATGGTCTTCCAAGAAAAGTCATGCAGGCTTGGCCAAACACCACAACAAGCATCATTAGTTTTTCTCTTCTTTCTCCCCGAATCGCTTCAGCCTACACTTCATAGGAATTTGACATTTTATGAAGAAAGTGGATAAATAAAAATTTTTTAATGTAATAATTTTTAGTCAAGTACAATTATGCTAACAAACAGCATGCTCTGACAATAAATATTTAAACTCATTTAATACATAATACTTTTCCATAAAATTAGAACTTTGTTCTCTGGTAGTACTGACATGACCTTGAATAATCAAAATAATTATCTCTAACTCTCTTCTATAGTGATACAGAGAAAATTACTGGTGGATTATAAGACGAAAGCTGATTTTCTTTTTCTTCCCTAAGGAATCAACTGAAGTACTTATTGGCATGATTTTCATTAAATAAAATTAACTAAATATTATCCCATAACATTCTATCTGACACTAAGGATCAGGGTTTTCTATCAGACATGAAAAAAAAAATCACAACCTGACAACATATATTAGTAAATCAGGAAATGATCTTCTTGCCTTTTTACATGATCTTTTTCATTTTATCTTTTTTTTCTACTTGAGCACTTGGTCTTAGGGTGTGAATAAACCAAAGGAATCTCTCAATTCCACTTCATTCTATGAATATAGAATAGAGTTAATTTTGTGTGAATAAACTTCCTTTCAGTTAGTCCCGTTTGATATCACTTAGAATGTATCCAAATAAAACTTCAATTAATATGCTTATACATGGGTCTGTTCTGACACATGGGATATTGGAACATTTACTTACATATTTTCCTAGAACAAAATGAAATATTATTTTCAGAAGGTCACCTGTCTCCAATACCCAAAAGTTGTTTACCAACATCAGAAAACCATGAACCCATGGACTCATTAATACAAATGCTTACCAAATCAAATTATCCCCATTCTGGTGAGTGTTCTCTAATTTTATTTATTTATTTATTTATTTATTTATTTATTTATTTATTTATTTATTTTTATTTTTTGGTGTTGAATATTAAACCCAGGGGTGCTTAGCCACTGAGCCACATTCTCAGCCCACATATATGTATATAATTTGGGTATCACTGAGTTGCTTAGGGGCTCACTAAATTGCTGGGACTGGCTTTGAACTCGAAATCCTCCTTCCTCAGCCATCTGAGCTGCTGGGATTACAGGCTTACACCACTGCACCCAGCTCTTTCTATTTTTAATTTAAAAATTTATTAACTTTTGTGTTAAATATAAGCTGAGGAAATGAAATAAATAGATAAAATTCCAACAAGTTCTCATGTACAAACTGAAACAAAATTAAAGTTTCTATACTAGAAATTAAATTGGAAGTCATATAATATAATACATCTACAATAATGATAATACTAGCAGGATGTGTGATGCATATCTGTATTCCAGTGACTCAGGAGGATCACAAGTTCAAACACAGACTCTTTACTTTAGGAGGAATACCCTGTTTCAAGATAAAAATAAAACAGCTCAGAATGTAGCCCAGTGGTAGAGGGTCCCTGGATTCAAGTTCTACTACCACAAAAAGAAAAAAAAATGATAAACTTTATTTACATTGGATTTTGTTTGCTTATAATATTTAATTTTTTCCTATTGAAATTCTCAGAGATAGGTCAAATTAAAGAATATTATCTCCAATTCACAAAGCATCTGAAATCCTAAAAATAGCTAGAACAACCTCTAATTAACATTTATACTGTAATTTATGAGAAAAAATCGATATAGGAAACATTTTCTCTAACAAAAGGAGAAAATGAGAGGAGATTAAACCCATAGAATTGGCAATTTAATATTCATAATAAGGAATTTAGAATCAGAAGACTTCATATAAATTTAACATTTGATTTTAGTCAGATTTCTCAGAATTTTCTTATAATTTAGTTTTTTTAGATATGCATACAGCATTTGAAGATATCTTCCATTTTATTAGAGAAAATAAGAATCTAGTACTGGTGGTTTGTATATAAGATGCCAAAAGAAAATCATAAATATTTTCATGGAGAAATAACTATTTTTTGTTTGTACCTTATTATAAAGAGTTGTTTAAAGTAAAATGTGTTCTTTTTTGGACTTTTAAGAGATGATTTGATCAACTGTTTCTACTTCATTTTTATGAGTACACCCATAGGCCTAGAATTTAAGCAATAATTTCAATGGGATTCTTACATGAAGAAAGTGATCTTAAATAATATTATTAGATAATGTACTTTCAACTTTAATGATATCATATTTTATCTTATGGTTAAATTTTGCTTGTACTTTTTTGACTCACAAATGCAAGTTATCAGTGTGTAATATGCATGTATGTGTAATTTACAAACTTAATTACAGTAAATTTTTTTTATAGCTAGTTATCCATTCAGCCAGAAACAATGGCTCTGGATGGAAATCATCACATGACAATGTTCACAGACATTTTCTTGTCATATGTAGTTGAGTCAGGAAGTTCAGACTCAGCATTTTGACTTGAAAATGTATGACATCAAGAGAGTTTCAGGCACAATTAAAGTCATTTTAAAACAAATTACTTGCATCATTTACTCTGAAGTAAAAAAACACCATTTTTTTTAATGCATAAAACCTTCTTTTTCCTAGTTTCTCTCTTTGACATTTTAATCAATGGATTTATATTCATAATGGAGACTTGAATAAATTCTAGCACACATCAGTGTTGCTTGTTCCTTGTGTAATCACATTTTACTTGGCTAATGTCCTAGCAGAATTCAGGTTCCCTCTTATCCCAAAATTCTATCTCAGTTCACCTTCTTTTATCTTTTTATATGTTTTGAATATACATTTGCAACATGAAAAGTACATTTCAAAAACACTTGTTGGGAGTGTAGCTCAGTGTTAGAGCACTAGCCTAGCATGCTCAGGGTTCTGGGCTTGATTCATAACTCCACCATAAAGAATAAAAGAACAGTAATAGTAACAATAACAATAATTTATTGAGGGTGTACGATTTACCAATCACAATTCTAAGCCCTTTGCCTATATAACTAACTTAATGTTTACAACAAACCTGTGACAAGTTAATACTATCAATTGATCCAAGATAAGGAATCAGAGGCCCAATGGAGGTTAAATAAATTGTTCACAGTAACTCTCAGAAAGCAGACAATCCAAAAATCAAACACAGATTTCTAGTTCTAGGGTCAAACCACTACTGATACCAAATCATACCCAAAGCCAGGTTGGGGACAGAGGGGCATTGAGAGGCAATTTTTTTAACTTTAGATGCAGTGTGACAAACTTGATTTGCTTTTTCTTGTCATTTTGGCCCTCCTAATGATGCAAAAGGGTCAGACAACAAATAATTTCAAGTGATTTAAAAAAACATAACTATTATAGATAAGAGCTAAAAATAGTTATATTTTATAAATGGCAATATTTTATTTACTGTCATTATTCATGTTTACTCTACATTTTCTTTAAAATTTACCATGTGTCTCATGATGTGTGTGACTAGAGAGATACAAAATTAATAGACTGAACTTAACCGTTTTTAATCCCTGTTCCAGAGGGAGACACAGAAAGGTTAATACAGTGTACTAAATGCTAAGATAGAAGTAGCAGAAGGACATGGTAGCACAAGGTCAGGTGATGAACCAGAGAACTAGTATAAGAAAAAAAAAAAAAGCACTGAATTGACCGAAAATTAGAAAAGAAACAGAGAAAACCAAACCATGTACAATGGATTTTGAAAACTTTATTTTTAAAATTATTTCTTGAAACATAATCTCCAAATCATTTTATTATAATCTAGATTCCAACTAGATCAAAAAGTTTTAAAATACAAGAATAATAATATTTTGTATGACTAATAAGCTCTTTGGAAAATAAGAATAATTAAAACATTCCTTCAAAATTGACTTAAAATGTAAATACCATTCAATAAATGCATAGAAATGTTCTTTTGTATGTAACATTGAAGAATATATTAACTTTTATTCATTATTTTGTTCAGATTTGTCTAACCAGAAAACAGTGTCTCTTTATAATTCATAGATCTCATTGAGTCTTTTAAGCATAAACACAAATAGGTATTAAAATCCTTCTCTGTGTCAAATACCCACTCAAGCACCAGAAAATTAAATTAACTAGTAATAGTTCTAAATAATAAATTCACTTAAAAAACTATACCATACTAGGATGAATGAGTGTACATGTGTTCTGTATAAAAATAAACATTATCTTCCGGAATACAAATTCAGTATTGCCCTTTTTTTAGGTTTGCCTAGAAAATATATCTGCTACAGTTTTCCTTTCTACCATATTACTTCATTTTTTGATTTATATTTGAACAAATCTGTTGATAAAACAGAAATATTGAGCAGAATATCTTCCATATTTCTTATATTATTATTCTTAGTTCAAGTTGAACATGTTGGGTCTGTGCTATGGTTTCATATGTTCTGAGTGTATGACTTTTTAATATGTTTTCAGCACTCTGTAGTATAGAACCACATTACTGTACTTTTCCCCCAAAAGTAAAATGTTCAGTGTATTCTTTGGTGTGTAATAATAATTTCCATTGCTTATACTGACTCACAAGGCTTGTGATGCTAATACAATGAGAACTTCAACAAGGAACTTTTAACAAATTTTCACTACCATCAAAATAACTTTGTACACTTTTAGGGCTCTTCAGTTTAACTCCTCATTAACTGATAATCTTGACCATTACAAATTATGTTCTCCTACAACAGCTGGTTTAGCAGTACTGTTCAGCTGTTATTTTACCATATCTCTGATTTATTCATGCTTAAATTTGCCACAGCACTAATCCAAAACCTTCTCCTAAGCCTTTCTCTCTCATTCCACATTATCACATTAAAGTAGGGAGTCAGACATTAAGAACATAACCCTCTTAAGCCCCAGCCTCTCCACTAATGGTGTCACCACATAAGAAAGAGAAAAAGCAAACAATTAAATGTATGTATGAGTTATAAAGAAAAAATATAAGGGGGTACAAATGTCCAAAGAAGATAAGAGGGTTGGGGAAAACTGTAGGAAAATTCATAAGGGAGAGAGGGATAAGAACGTGAGTTATTTGAGCTTGGAAATTTTTGTGAAGAATTTGGCTGTGATGGGAAGGTATTAGTGGGGTTTTATAGGTAAGTAACACTAAATGTAATGCCTTTGAACAGTGAAAAGACAAAATTTAAAGATTTTATCTTTGACTCCATAAGATCTCCCAGTCCTTTAACTCTCCTATTCCAATTCTATCCAAACCCTCTTAGCCTGGCTTCCTTTCTTAAAGAGCTTCAACACTGAAAGACCTTTGAGGAGGGGAGGACATATGGTATATAGCTTGTAGAAGTAGAACAGGGAGAAGCTAAGAGAATTCTTCTTTGTCTTCATAGAACCTTCAGTCCCTTAACACTCTGATTGTACTACATTCTCTCTATTCGCTCTACAGGGCACACTTCCCTTGGACTTCATCCTTGACTAAATATTATCTTGATTGTTCGTATAACTCCCCTGCCCTTCTACTTTTAACCAACCTTACCTGGAAAACACTTGACCATGTGAGACTGAATTTAAGTCTACTACCACTCTAAGCAGCTGAATCTTAAAGTAAGTTTATGTTTATCCCTGGGTTACTAAGGATATCTGATCAAAACTACTTGGTGGTATTAGAGTTAGCTGTCTTAACTGTCCTTAAGCTTCAAACATTTATCTCACCAGACAACAACTTCCCTTTCTACTTTATCCATCTACCTTCTGGTGTGACATGTAAATAACTTGATCTAAATCTGAATATAACTTGAACTCTCTACTTCAAGTTTCAAAGGATATATGGTCTTTGAAGCTCATAGCTTTTTAGAAATATTTTAAAATTTCTTCTGTGTTCTATCCTTTTTATTGATGTTCATTTTGGCAAAACTAATGATAATGATTATACTACCTAAAACTGACCAAGTTCCATTGTTCAGGGTATGTTATATATATATATGTCTAAATTAACCTTACCACTATTAAAATTACTACTAATATTACTAATATAGCTATTAATATTATACCTTGTAGAAGAGAAATTACAGAAACAAAATGCCCTTCCTCAAGGGTATTATCCTATTTGGCTCTTTTAATTAAAACTGACTTCTTGGTAGTTCTTATAATTTTCTGATATTTTTATGGATTCCTAGATATTTTTCATAAATTCCTCTTCTTTCTCATATAAAAACCAGGTAGGAACCTGACCTCAGCCACCACTTATCTAACTTTAAACATGTTTCTTATAGGATTATATCCACTTTAATCATTTAAAATCAATTTTTAACTATTCAGATTAACCTCTAAATTTCTACCCCATCCAAAGTTCGATTGTCTCCTGAATGTAATATAAATTGAGGAATAAGTATAAGAATTTTGAGTACTGAATCTCCAGTACTCAAAACATTATCTAATATTTAGATAAATTCTCAGGTTGTACCTATATATTTTATGTATTTCATTATAGCAAATTAAATTGGAAGATAGCATCTACATAGCTCTTTTTTGCCATCAGTAAATAAGCATCAAGGATTTGTCAGACACCTAGGTTTAAGATTATCTCATTGGTATAGATGAGGGGGGCTAAAGATTTTTCCTATGATTGAAGGAGACTTAGAAAATATTAAAACATAAAACACATTATAAAAATTCAACCATGGGTTGCAGATTTATGGCAACATATTTAGTAATACATATTTGTGGAATATTTATCTTGTGAACTAAGCCCATTGACATTTTCCAGAGCATAGCAGTCATTTGTGGATGAAAAATGTCCTTTTTTCATTACTACAAAAAGGCAGTATATATCTATCTGGTCCATCAGTCATAAAAGCTGATATTTACAGAGTATGAGATTGCACCTAACAAAATAGGTTACTCATGTCCATATCATGTGTTCTTCAACTGTTAACATAATCCACAGTTTTTCATCATGTTATTAGGATTTATTCATATCATTTTTAAGATTCCATTCTGAAAAAAAAAAGGATCAACTAAGTTTAAATGCAGCTTATCAACTTCTTCATTTTCAGAAGGGAATATTTGGGCGATCTGAATTTCAAATACCCTGTATTAATTTTGTCCCTAGATTCCTTTTATCCACAAGAGGACATTTCTCTTGTATCCAGGGCCTTTTGTAGTACCCTGCAGTCATTGTTTCATCAACTAAGGAGGGCAGAGAGTGAAGGAACAGAGAGAGAGAAGAAGGTGAGGTAGAGAGAAAAGAGAGAGAGAGAGAGAGAGAGAGAGAGAGAGAGAGAGAGAGAGAGAGAGAGAGAGAGAGAGAGAGGTATGTAAAAGGAAGAAAAAGGAAGGAAAATTCTTGGCCATTATTTCTTTAAAATTTCTTATGTGTTCTCTTGTGCACACGTGTCCTGCACCCCATCTCTCTTAGGATTACAATTATACATATATTAGACTATATTAGAACATATACTGTTTTTCAAGTTGTAATTTCTGTGATATCATCAGCTTCTGATTCTTTCCTGGGCTATGTTGAATATGATGAGCCATTTTCTCTGTTAGTGAACTTTTTAATTTCTAGCATTTCTATCTGGTTCTTTTGCTTTACATCTCTGTGCTAAAATGATCTCTGTAATCTTTCTTGTATACATTTAACACCAGAATCTTCCATATACTAATCAAGGTTATTTTAATACCCTTTTTGAGAGTTACAACATCTGTGTTAACAACCAACACTTCTGACTATTGCTTTTGTTTGTTTGTTTTGGGTGGTACTAGGAATTGACTCAGACACATTCTACCACTGAACTACATTCCCAGCCCCATTTTAAAATATTTATATCTTGACACAGAGTCTTGCAAGTTTCTCAAGCTCAGCTCAAACTTGCAATATTTCTGCCTCAGCCTCCTCAGTGACTAGGATTAACAGGTATATATATGCCACCATGCCCAGCAAACTAGTGCTTTTTTTAATCTTCAAACATTCCCTTCTTGCTTTTATGTATTTTTATAATTTTTGTTGAATGACAGGTACAAGTTTTAGTTCAATAGATAATAAGGTAAATGTGTTTACGCTTGAACATAATTACACTTTTTCTTCTGAGATATCATTAGTGTGGAAAATTGTGTTATTTTAGTCCACATGAGAGCAAAGGTGGACCACCCCTTGGAAAAATGGAGTACTCTCACCCCTGAAAAACACTACAGCCACTGTTACAATGCAAGAATATCAAGCTAAATCATTTCATATTACTCCAATGTATGACTTGGGCACTTCCAGCCAGTTCTTGTTTTATCATCATTTCTTATTTGTTACATATTATGAGGTATATTAGGTTGTCAATAATAAATTCAAAGTATATAAGAGTTATTTCAATTTTTAATATTTATTCATAGTAGGTAATTCATGTTTATAGCACAAATACAGGAAAGGAAGCCAAGCTATTGTCTAAAGAAGATATATTTATTATTCCATTATATTATATGCTTAATATAAGATGAAATAAAGCATAAATTTTTTTATCACCCTTTCCTACTGATGCCAAAATACATTCAAGTAATGAATATTTGCAAAGTGTATTTAGGAATTAAGTTTAAGATACTTATCTCTTTCTATTATGCTATGGAACTAACTTCCCTTGTTTAATTGTTCTATCAAATGAAGTAGTAATTCACACCCAAATTAATGGGCTTTTAATTATTTTTTCATATTTTATACTGATTATAAAATAGAAAAATAATCCTTTTGTTTTTAAAGGCCATTTTATAAATATACCTGGAAGAAAGAAAGTGAGACATATTTTTCAAATCAAGACTTAGGACTTCCTTCCTTCCTACCCTGGAAACAAGGTATCCTCTTTTCATATAAAGATGCTCTTGTGTTTTGTTGTTGGTTTTTTTTGTTTTTTTTTTTTTTTTTTATTCTCTGCTTGATCTCAGTAAGACTCTAATAAGGTACCTATAAATTCAAGATGTATTTATATTCTCTTCAGGTTTGGAGATGTTGGAACACAGGGTATTGTGAATATCTAATATGAAACTGCCATTTCAATACTGCATAGGAAGAGACTTACCAAAGGAATTTTTGCCTCTAGTTTAGGCTGGACTTAGGCATTGGCAAAAAAACTAGAAAAACAGGCTTATCCTATTTAGAAAGTTATATGTTCTTCTGAAGAACTGTTCAATAGGGTCAAGTAAGCCCTTCTCTCTTTAGACTCTACTTGAGAAAAAAAACATACTGAGGAAAAGGGAAGGCAAAACTTCTGCTATGTGAATGAGACATAAATGTTTTCTTCTTTCTAGAGGGTTCTAAAGTTAGATGTCACAAGTGACATATAGGTAGATGATAAATAAATTGAGAGGCTGTGCAACACTGTCAGAAGATTTTTAAATGTCAAAAAAATCTGAGATTTTTTTCATTTCTGAAATTTTTAAGAACTCAAATTATAATTCTAGAATTCTTCATTATTAGTATTCTTAATAAAACATCTCTTGTTGAGCATTTATATTTTTCACATTTTGACATTCTAAATAATGTCAACTATGTCCAGTGTACACTTTTTGTAAAAATAGAGATATTTTATGCGTTTGAAGAAGGGAGAAGCTATACAGTTTAATATAGAGATTGGTTTTGTGTTCCCTAAAGAAAATTGAACACAACCTAGATACACACCTAAATATATGCCTGCTACTTTTACTCTTCAGAGACAAACAAAAGGTTTGGCCATCAAAGACCTAAAGTTTAACGCCACAGGGCATGCTAGCAAACAGTTTCAGACTAGAAATTTTTCCAAGTAGCTGATACCAATCTCACATTGAAGCCATAACAATAAATTCCAATAAAGCTCCCACAGAATGGCGACTTTTAAACAATTTTAGTTCCAGCTAAACCTTCCAAGACAAATTAATGACAAAATATGCCACTTTGTAACTGAGTTAACTTTGTAACTGAGTTTAACTTCTACTTAAAGACAGTTAGTTAGAAGTCATTTAATTGTTAAAGGAAAGTTACTGGAAAAAAATTTTTTTGGCGTTAGTGTCATTCCTGTTAGGTCATACTCACAGTAGTTAAATAGTAGGACCCAATTTCTGTTAAGGGTCTTCCTCATCAAACTAATGAAACCAAGTATTCTTTTGATTGTTTCTCTTTATCAGAGAAATAATTATAATATATATTCATATTTTCTGAAGCAACAAGTTTATAATCTTCCTGTTCATAGGGCCAATCAAAATGAAGCTGCTTCTTTGGGTTTGCATCGTGTGCGTTGCTTTTGCAAGGAAGGTAAGTAAAATGGACTTTTACAATCATACCAATGGTGTAACTATGAAATAATCATTGGAAAAGATTCATGCTAAAGATAAAATTATTGCCCTGTTTATTAAAAAAGCAGAGAAACATATTGATGAGCATGTGGTTTGTTGTATCATAGTCTTCGAAGGAAATTTTAAAAACCAAAATAATGACAGTTACAAAAACTAGAGCAACCACAAGGATAAGAGTTAAGTAATATAGGTGTCTGGAGGAGGAAAGAACTACAGAGAACCAGAATCCCATGTAGACAACTTTAGCAGAGTTTTATATCTTATAATTATAGAATGCTGAATTGGGACTTCTCTGGCAGAGAAGTTCCACTGCTAGAGGTACTTGTGCCAAGTCACACAGGATACTTGATGGGATAAAAGCAAATGAATATAAAGACCTGCAGTGTAATATAAATAGATAAAACTCTAGAGTCAAGATTATTTGAGGGCAAATTCTTAATCCTAGCCAGTGAGCAGTTAGTGTGCCGAACACCCTCTTTGAGAAAATAATAACACCTTCCCCCAAATAATTGTTTTGAATAATTATGTAAAGTGCTTAGCAGAGGACCTAGGATATAGTAGGAAATGATACACTACTATTATTTTGTCCAAATTTAAAATATTGTTCTACTTCCTAAAATTACCTGAATCAAGCTTTAACTCTTAAAATGGTAAATGATGAATTTACTATTCTCTCTCTGTCTCCTTCATACACACACACACACACACACACACACACACACACACACACAAGCAAAATTAGATAAATAAGAGCTGAATGATCTTTCATATGATGAAAATTTATGTACACATAGGATATTACACACTAAAATTCATCTGGCCAAAACGAAACTTCCTGATATATGATGATGATGATGGTGATGATAAATAATTCATACTGATGATTACTATCTCAAAGAAACTATAATAATTATAAGGTTTTGCAAATTTCTTCATTAATAAATAAATCTGGGTACAGAATTTTCAAATAAATAACCCTACTAAACTTCTTTTTTTCAGAAGCGTTTTCCCTTCAATAAGGTAAATCTTTTTCATTTAAACATAAATATGTCTATTTTTACTTTAGACTTTGTTTTTTTGTTGTTGTTGTGTTGTTGTTTTAATTTTTTTTCAGTTGTTGATAGACATTTATTTTCATTTATTTATTTTTATGTGATGCTGAGGATTCAACCCAGTGCCTCACACATGCTAGGCAAGCGCTCTACCACTGACCCACAACCCCAGCCCATAGACTTTGTTTTATATTTAACAATTCTCTAATTACTTGACAATGTAATTTAATCACTGCTAATGATATTGAAATAGTACTTATATTTATCTTTTCTGATTTGATGGAAAATATTTACTAAATATAAATATACATGTCCTGAATATACTTATCAGCAGTTCTTTATTTCTTTTCAATGACCAGAAGCATTAAATAAATGCAATAATTTTGTGGTATAATAAAATGTTTGCTTTGCCCCGAGTTTCTTTGATGCCTGTCATATTTATCACAAGGTAGTTGAACAAACTACATAATGTATCCAGCCAGACTTTTCTTGCATGAGCTGTAGTCATTCTGAATGTAAGTAGAAATCTAATGAAAAAATGTCTTTCGGTGCTGTTTAATTTAAAACAATCATTGTTTTCTTTGTTTTAGAAATCTTTCTCATCCTCATCCAGTGAAGAGGTAAAATATATTCATATTTATTTATATCTAAGGATACTGAAATGTATCTTACATTATTCATTTTTTCTTTAAAATGGATTTTTTTATCAAATAATGTTCAGTGATTCAGATTATTATATTTTTCCTTGAAAAGCAAAGAATTTATTTAGGAACCTATTCATTTCTTTTCCTCTGATGGGCACATTTAAAAACACAAACAGAAATATAAACATATTTATATTTAAACATTCTATAACTTCTTATTTATACTGATATCCTGTCTAATTTTATTGCCTGTTTATTAGAATAAATACTTAAAAGTCAAATTTAATTATATAATAAAGTTTTACATTTCTAAAAGTATAGAAAAAGAAAGCAGTATGTTCCAACAAATACAAAAAGTGAGTCTGTTTATAAATTGCATCTATTATTGACAAGTAAACTTGGAATACATGTAAAAAAATAACTCCATAACACTAACATAAGTATACAAGAAATATTAATGTTGTTTATCATACTTTGAATTGATATTTATCAAAATTTAAATTTTCTTGAATTTTAATTGAGCTATACAGTAAGCAAAGACTCTGGGAGTAGCCTTCCCAGGAAAAACTGATAAATTTATGAAAAGAAATAAAACTTCATGAATATAGGCCAAGAAACATAATTTTAAAATGTAAAATTTTATAAAATTTTGTGGCTTTGAAACTCCCTATCTCACACATGTGTAAGAGACAAACCTGGAACAACCAGAGGCTGATATGGAGTTCTTACCAAAAGAAGTCATTTGAAATGTGATGATAAATTTATGAATAATGTTAATAAGGTAGTCATTTAAAATGCAAATTCCACAGGGACAATTCTGTATGAAAAGCCAATTGTATATCATCCACATGTTATGGGCCTACTCCCTTGATAACAAATTGAGAAGCCTGACTTGAAGTGAATGTGAATGGACACTTTGATGAAGGGGGAAAGGAGTTCAGAGATACAAATCTGAATTTGGGGACAAAGGGACCCTTGTCCCTAGAACAACAATAAAGGGGTGAAGAAATGAAGGCTTTGGGAGACAACTTTAGAGACGTTGGGCTAATGAGGACAGTACATGGGGTAGCGCAGAGAAGGCCTGGAAGCACCAATCCTACCTCCTTATATCAACTCTGTAGCATACATAAACATCTCTTAGTTTTGCCCAGGTCTACACTGGCATAATCTGCAGTCTATAACACTCTTATTTGTCTAAACACAAAATACTTTTCCCTCAATTTGGGTTTGTTCAATTTTTTTAAGTAATTATTATAAGTTACATTCAAAACTTATGAAAAGACTAAATTTGAATTCTTCTTTTAAAAAATCATTACTTATATAATATTACAGCCATAACATAAGTAATGAAAAGATAGAACATAAAGTTACTTATCATTTACTTCTTTGCTTCTTCCTTAGGATGTCAGTAGCTATGGCTACCCACTTAATCCATCTCTGGATATTCCTTATGGCTCACCAAATGATGATTTCCCAACTCGTCGTTTGCCTACTCTTTCCTACCCTCAAATGAATAGTGGAATGAATAGTGGCCCCAAATACCCTGTAGCTGACTCTGAATCAGGGCAATCTCCATATCCTTGGGTTCAGTCTGCTTCTGGCTCTCCCTATGTGTACCAAGTCCCTAGTTATTCCCCACCTCAAATGAACGCTCCTGAAGCTCCCGCTGCGGCTGGTCCTTGGGCTCCCTCTGCTGCTGCTCCTCTGGTTCCTCACCATTATCCTCCTCCACCTCCTCCTCCTCCTCCACCTCCTCCTCCTCCTCCCCCTCCACCTCCTCCCTCCTCCAGTGTTTGAATAGCGTCTGCAGCATCTGCAGATCCATCTGGTCTATCTTTAGAATCTGAGGCTGTTCCATCTATGCCTGTAGCAGCTGAGCCTGCTGCAGAGTCACTTTCTTCAGAGTTGACTGCAGATACTCTTTCTTCAGTTGAGCCCGGTGAAGTCACAGATGCCCAGACTGCTGCAGCCAAACATGCTGCAGCCAAACATGCTGCATCCCTGTCTCTTGCAGTCAAACAGTCTGAAGTCCAGTCTGCAGCCAAACAGGCTGCCTCCCAGTCTGCTGCAGTTAAATATGTTGCATCCCGGCCTGCTGATGTCCCGTCGACTGCAACTGAACTTACTGGTGCAGCTATGCCTGACACCCAGTCGGCTTCAGCCAAATCTGATGGAGCTGAACGTGCTGTAGGCCATTCTGCTTCAGCCAAACCTGGTGGTAATAAGCCTATTCTAGACAAACCTGATATCTCAGAATCTCAACCCTCTCCTCTTGACCAGGTGGGTTGCCGGTACCTCACCACTGGAATGCATGAGATTTGTAGGAGAAGAAACACAACCTCCCCATAAGCAAACATTTAGAGAAGGTTTATTGAAATACAATTGACATATGCCAAACTGAGGGTACTAAAAGAGTACACTTTGATAGGTTTTGACACATGTATACATCCACAAAATCACTACCAGGATAATGAACAGCCAGAAATTTTGCCCATTCCTTTGTAATCCTAGGTTCCCCTTTCTCCCATTCTTGATTTGTTTTTGTTTGTTCATTTTGGCTTGGATTTGGTTTGAATTTTATGTAGGTGGAATAATACTGTAAGAATTCCTTTATTTCTGGCTTCATTTATTTTAGATAATACCATGAAGATGTGTAAACCAATAGTAGGGTTTGTTTGTTGGTTTTTTTTGGTGGGGGGGTTGTTTGTTTGTTTGCATATTATGATTTTATTATATAGACAGAACATAATTTTTTTACCCACTCTTCTATTGATGAACATTTTGGCTTCCAAATCGGAACTACTTATTTATGACTGTGTCAGCTTAATTCATTATAATGGTAAATGAAAGTGGCTAGATATTATCCCTTTTTCCTAATATTAAGGGAAAACATTAATTTTTCTCATATATGCACACAGACATATATTCAACATGTAATATACAATACATATGTAAGTTCTGGAAATTCTCCTCGGCTAGTGTATACCTCCTCCTCCTAGGGTTTACCTCCTTTGCTTCCAGTCTCTTAATAATCACCATCCCACTGAGATCCTGAAAGAGTCTTCCTCTTCCTATTTTTGTACATATTGTACTTGTTTGTTTCAGGCAAGAGAGTTAATATAGTTTCTGTTACTTACCTTGGCCACAAGCAAAGATTTTTAAACTTTTTTAAAAGCAGTTGTTTAAAAAGCCCTGTGTCCCTATATCTTGTTAGATATTTATTAGGTTATTTTATAAAAAGCAAATGTGATTTAAAACTGCACAGAAGGTACTCAAAACCCAGGAACAGACTGGAAAAAAAATAAAAGCTTAAATACATCAGTAAGTAGTACACAGTACACTCACCACTACATGAATATATCTAGTACTTATTTCCTAGAAGAAGATAGGAACTGTCCTTAAAGATAATCATCAAGGGATAAAATTAAATGTGTGGTTTTTTTGCATCTAGTTCAGATAAATATAAAGAGCTAGGCATATTCTCCATTGCTCCACACAATAAACATGCTAATTTGATAAACCTCTTCCACATAAGTACTTTTCATCTCCCAGGATATAACGATAGTCCCTGCTTCATTTGAGAGTAGAAGGGACATGTTAAAAAGTGAGAATAAGTTGAAGCAGGACATGATCAGAAGGGACCTTGAAACAGTTAAATGCCCTGGACTTCACCCTGTAGCCAAAGGAACTTATTAAGGAACTTCATTGGGGGGAGTGATTTGACAGATTCTCTGCTTTAGAAAGCAACTCTGGTGGCAGTATGTTTTAAAAAGATGAGTTTATAAACTTATAAGTAGGACACAACTTCTTAGAATGATTATTTAGAAAATATAGGCCAGAACTATTCAATGAAGTATATTTTGCTGTGTATAAAAAAATCTTTCTCTTTTTTTTTTCCTTTAGAGAAATGACAATTTCGACAGAAATGAGTAACATGCATTTGTTTCTGTAAGTCAAACATGATAATGAGATTTAGAAATCATAGTTTAAGTAGACCAAATCTCATCATCTGAAACTACTTTTGAATATATTTTTACTACATGAAAATGAGAAAGTGGGCTATGGAGAAGTGCTTAGCAGTCTACCACCCCAGAATTCTGAAATTATGAACTCAAGTCCTATGTAAAGAACTCAGGTTACTTTGGGAAAACTAGAAAAGTTCCTTCCTAAATTGATCCAAATTGATCCTGACTTAAATACTTTGAAATAACAGTGGTCAAAATAGGAAGAAATTTCCATAAGCAGAGAGGGAATTAAACTGTGGTTAGGAAGAGGCATTGTTGGCTTAAAGTTCTCACAAGTCATTATGTACAATGTCTACTCAGCCACCAGTCTTCCCACATTGAGAACCACTGTTTAGGAATCAAACAATTTAGACCTGAAGTTTCCCATTATCCACCAAATCCACCACCCTCTACACACCCCACATTACTCCCCAACATATATTTTCCTAGGAAGAAAGGCACTGACCAAAAGCTCAGCTGGATTCATTCCATCTTAGTCATCTGATGAGGAAATAAGCAAGATATTTGGTTACCTTAATTTCAAGTTCTCATTCCTTCAGCCTTTCCCAAAACTGTTATAATTTTACTGTTCTAAATACTCAGTAGACAGGAAAATGACAAGACTTATTTGATTGTCATCCAAATCAAAAACTCTACTGAAACAACATCAATGGCTCAAGTGGAATTGAAAAACAAATGTGAGGGCAATTATTATTGCTAGTGGTGCTTCTTAGTTGTAGCCATTGCCAGGGCCATTAAAAAGTTTCAGTTTTTATTGGAAATTCTGACTACTGTTTATTATTTTGGTTTTATTTATTTTACTGGTATGACAGATGAAAGGTTGGTTAGTGAATTATGTCAAGATATTGATACATATAATAATTTTATATATTCAGTATTTGTTGTATTTCTTACCATACTAATTATGTAATTTACAATAGGTAAAGAGAAAAGATACTACTTTTCTGGAAATGTCTCCCTATTAAAACAGAAAAAGAATGGTACTTGAAATCATTCAATATCAATAAACAGTGATGATATGAAAAAGTACCCACATTAAAAATCCTGTATAATATGGATATATTCATGGAAGGAAATAAATTATAACATTGAATTAATATTGCATTTGAAAATGAATTGTTATTAGAATAACATTGTTACAGGAATGTATAACTGTGGTAAGAATGCATAGTATTTATAAAAAGAAAAGAATCTTCCCTTAAATGTGTATTTATGGCATGGATTTTTACATGACTGTTATATAAAGTTCTTTAAAATAATCATAAACACAGAATAACAACTTTGCTATAAATGCAAGTGTTTTGACAATATAGTATATAAAACTAATATGTTGTTTTTCTCTTTCAGAGACTGGTGCAGAAATCAATGAAATCTAAAAAAAAAAAAACTTTTTCAATTTCATTCTGTTATATTAAAATTCAGTCTTACCATATTCATTGATTTGTGATGGTTTTTCATTGGATCTAACTCATACTGAAAATAATATTCATGGTATACTTTTTTCCAATTTAAAATATAAAAAGCATATTTCATAAATATGAAATAATAATGGTCATAAATTTAAACATATTCTAAGTGCCTTTCTTTTGAACACTGTCTAAAAGTATGACACAAATCGGCTTTTATTTTTGTTTCCATATTCTTTTTCCTGCAAATAGAAGGTAAAGAAAAGATCACCTTAATTCATGATTTTTCCATCTCCTCCTTTCCAAAATGTTTCGTCAGCTTTTCAAAAAATCTATTATCAACTCACACAGCACTTTATAGTGCTAGGAGCTATTCTAAGCTCCTTACAAATATTAACTCATTAAGTCCTTATGATATGACCTTATTAAGTATAATATTATTCTCGTTTTAAAGAATAGAAATCCAAGTATAACAGAAAAGACAAATTAATTGCCAAAGAGTGAGAGGCAGAATGAGAAAACATACCAAGAGAATGGGGACTCAGTTCAAACTGTATTGGAAGATGAAGATGAAGCCAACTAACAGGAAGTTAAACATTGTGGTTATGGTGGTTGCAACAAATTACCACAAAGTTGATGACTTTGAAGAGCAGAAATTTATTCTCTCTCCATTCTGGGAGTCAGAAGTCCAAAATCAATTTTACTGGGCTGAAACCACAGTGTTGGCCTGGTTGTGCTCCCTTGATAGGCCTTGAAGGAGCCTCACCTCTTGGAGGTGTCTGCAGCTGCTGACTTCCCTTGTTTCTGCCCACCCTTCCCTTACTTAATAGGCAGATCCCAATGGAACACAGAAGAGAGCTGAGAAAAACTAGACTGGTGAATACATAGACAGTCTCTCCACAACTCCCCTTGCTAGTTCACATACCTCCATTTCACTCTTCCTCCCCAATGTCACTTTCTTGTCAACTATGACAAAATTCAGGATTCAGACTGTCTGCCAAGTCAGAATGTGACATTTCCTATTCCTGAAAATTGAGATAAAAGACAAGGTATCTGCCCACTGCACTCACTTTACAATGATAAAACTCAAAACAGAATAACCAAAATAAACAATTTAGAAACAGTCATGGCCATACAGAGCAATTCTACAAATCTCACTAAACACAGGAAAGACTTGAGATGGGAAAGGTTCATTTTTCTACAGATAGAAAAACATACTACATCCATTGTTTTCTTCAGTCATTTATCTAAATTCGTTGTTTCATCTTTAGTCTTTCAATGACTACCTTCTGCTGTGAGATGAAGGAACCACAGGAAGTAATTGCTTTACAGAAAACAAAAGGATAATTTCAAGGATCCAGGGGCT